GGGGGTGCCACTCAGCCTGGATACCTGGCTCACATTCCCCCGTTCTGGCTTCTCTGTGATGTGGCTGTAATGGTCGTCATGGTGACAGCCAACGCATTGCCCATCGCCGCCGCTGGGCACCGTGAGGCGAAAGGGGCTGCGAGGAAACTCCCAAGCGCTGGCGTTTCAGCTCGCGGCTGTCATCATGAGGACGTGTACACGCTCAGGGGATGAGTGAGGTGTGGCAGTGCTGTCCCCATGAGGCGTTATACCCGGCGCTGCATGGGTTATTATGACCGTATGTAGGCATGGGTATCTCGGACGGGAATGGCCTGCGAGATTCTGCAGGTTTTATTAAACCGCCGATAGGTAAAACCAGCCAGCGTGCTTCTGCAGGGAGCCCTGCTGTCTACTTAATCAACAGACGTGTAGCTGCAGCCGGGCTTGATTACACTCCGACTCTTCTCGGGAGGCTCTCGCCGGAAGCCAGACCAGGAGCGGGGGAGCCTTCACTCCCCTTGTACTCGGGGCCGGCCCGGAGACCCCTGTCTCTGGGGTGCGCGGGGGAGCGGAGACGTGGACCGGAGCCCCTGGCAGCCGCGGGGCGGTGCTGTGGGTGCTCATCGCTGCGCGGCCTCCTGCTGGCCGCGGTGGACGCCGCGACTGCTGCAGGTGTTGGTGCCGCTGTGGCCAGCTCAGCCGAACTGTGGCCAGCTGACATGCTGGCGAATGCCGTTCCACCTGACCTGTTCCGGCGGGCCCCGCTTCGATGACTTGGGGGTTGGTGCCGAAACAGCCCGTCCGGTGGCTGATTGGAGCTGTCCAGTAGCACTTCTGGGCCATCTCCGTAACAGACTCCGCCGCGCTGTGGTGACGGAGAGGAGGGGGAAAGCATGTTCGGCCCGGCCAAGCTGGCAACACCCTGCTCCGCGACTCCTGTCTTCGCCCCCCGTTCCGGCGGGGAGAGGGGAGTTGAGGGGGGGGAAACCGAAACGGTTGAAAAGGACCGTGGAGAGGAGGCGGGGCATTGGCCCTCGCCGCCCGCTTGCCCGTGGAAGCGAAAGGGCTGCGAGGAAACCTCCACACGCTGCGTTTTTCACTCCGGCCTGCATCATGAGCGGTGAACAGGCTCAGGGATGAGTGGAGGTGGTGGTGCAGTGGCTGTCCACATGAGGCGTGTATATACCCGGCGCCTCAATGGGTTTAATGACCGTTGGTGTGCTAGGGGCGGCAGGCGTATCTCGGACAGACAGAGGAATGGCCGCAGAGCGCTCTGCAGGTTTAGTTAACCGATAGGTTAAAAACCAGCAAGCTCTGCAGGAGAGCCCTGCTGTCTACTTAAATCAACAGATTAGTGGCAGGCAGCTGCGGCCTTAATTACCGCGCTGCCGGCTTCCTCCGCAGGCTCTCGCGGAGCGCCGACCAGGGCGGGGGAGCCTCAACTTCCATTTGGACTGCCCGCCCTCGGGAGCACCCTGTCTCTGGGGTGGCGCGGGGAGCGGAGACGTTGGACGCGAGCCCTGCAGCCGCCGGGGGGGGTTGCTGTGGGGCGTCCTCTGCCCGCCTTGCGGCCTCCTGGTGCCGCCGTGGACGGCCGCGGCTGCCTGCGGGCGTTCCGGTGCCGCTGTGGCAGCTCAAGCCGACTGGAGCCCAAGCTTGTAACATGCGCTGGGCGAATGCCGTCCACCTGTTCCGCGGCCGTCTTCATGGACTCCACCATGGCGTGGAACTGGGGTCCGAACAGCCCGTCCGGGCTGATTGGAGCGTCCAGTAGCACTTTTCTGGCCGTCTCCGTAACAGACGCCGCCGCGCTGTGGTGACGGAGAGGGGGAAAGCATGTTCGGCCGCCAAGCTGGCACCCTGCTCCGACTCTGTCTCCCCCGTCCGGGGGAGAGGAGGGAGGGGAGAACCGAACGGTGAACCGTGGAGGGAGGCGGGGCAGGAGTTGTCGGACTCCTGACCGGCACTCGGCCCCAGGGACACGAGGCCCCGTCCGCGGGCTCGTAAGCCTGGACGGGCCAATCGTCCTCCTCGGCCACAGCAGCAAGAGTGTCCGCTCTCCGCTTCCTGTCGCCCGAGGGGAGACGAGCGCAGTGCATGCTACCTGCTGGTTTAGAGCAGCGTACGCGTGCACTGACCCCCGGCAGGATTCGCATACTGCTTTTATCTCTGCTGGTCATAACTCATTATGAACCCAGAGCCACACGAGGGACAATCTCTCACACAATTGTTACTCATGTTTACTTTGCAATTGAAGTGTCTCTTGTGCTTCAGTAACGGTGGTTTGCTGAAAAAAAGAGGGAGCAGATTGCCGGGCCACCTTCCTATTTATACCGGAAGGAGGCCCGAGGGTGGGGCCCACCTTGCGGGTGGGCGTGGACTACAAGTGTTTCAGTGCTGCGCGGGGGCGCAGGGGGATTACCCAATAGCGATAGCCTTAGAGGGCGAAGCCATATACGAAATAGAACACAGGGATTTTAACCTGTGCAGACCATTTACATGCACAAAAACACAACAGGAAAGGGAGAACCCCAAAAAGCCTAACAATACCCCTTTTTAGCCTTTGTCTAATGTAATGGGTATTATGTCTGTTTCCACGTAGGTTCCCTCATTTTTTTTGTTAAGATGCTGGATAAATAGTGTTATATATCAACTTTCTGACTTTACATTTTTTATTTTATTACATCCTATTTCACCTCACTAGCTCCGGTCTTTGTTCCTCATGATACACTGTGTTCTTTTAGTTTGTTTTTGTGGAAGTAGCTTTTTTGTCATTAAAGCTCGCATTTTGTTCATTTTTCCTGAATTGAGTTGAACTGTGTGCTGACGCTTGCACAGAAGTCACGCGGGCTGAATAGTTTTGAGGTGATCTCACAGCGTCTTGGAGAGTGTATGAAAGGGAAGCTGTTCTGGAGGCTTTTGGTGGCCCCAACCTTTCTCAAACCCTTTATGTTGGTTTTCACACGCCATCTGTGGAATGTATGTACAACAAGGCAGCATCTCTATGGAAAACTAGGCCAGCTTACATAAAAAAGTTCCTCTTTAAAATGCATCCATCATATAACACATTGTCGCATTGCCTTTCAACAATGATAAAACTCTTTTTGAATTACAGTTCCTGGTAACAGATATGAGATATAATTGAGGATTTGTACAGCGTAGTAGGTGTATTCATAGGTTGAATAACAGTGGCCCATTAAAGATTTATTGGACAGATTGTTAAAGTAACACAATGAATATATTTCCGCCATATTGCCATAGAAATAATACGTTTAATTTAATGTGCAGGTTATAAATGCGCCTAGTATATTTGGTGCATCATTCATTTTATTTAAATGGGTGTTATTTAATGCCATAAAAGCCTTGAGACAAAAGGGAAGCAGCTTTTGATCTGTGTCCCCAATGGTAAAATATGCCACTTGTGACATAAAACAAAGGCAGTCAATTGACATGTGCTGATGATGAAGTACTGAATAAAAACAGCTCTTTAGGAAACAATTTATCTCATCTTAAACTGCCTACCCAATCTGAGGATTATATTATTAGCTGTATCTTGTATCCATAGTGCCCGTCATGAATAGGAAATGTTTCTCTCTCTCTTGGACTCTGAAGAGAATCAAACATGAGAGCATTTTGCGTGTGTCTCTGTTTTCTCCACTTCACATCATTTGACAAATACAGTTATAATATGCAGATTAGCTTAATCTAGTAGCTCAACACTGGGCAGTGGACCATATTTTAGTAATTCCCTAGCATGCCTACATTTGAGGCCACAGCAGCTGAATCAGGATAGACTATTGTGTTAAATACGTTGATTCCTATTGGATAAACGGACATTGGGCCAAAACTCAACATTTCATAGACTTGTTTGAGGATTTAGCATAATAGCTGTAGTTAGGGAATTGTTTTCAGACTGAGCCCTAAAGAGGCAGTATTAATTCCTTCAATAATAAAAATGTGCCTCCTCTTTTATCTCTGGCACCAAGGTTTACACTGGCTAATCATGTAAATGTGGCCATTATTAGATAAGAAGTTTTAATGTAATGCATCTCCAGTTCGTGTGTAGGTTAATGGAAATTACATTTCCAACCAAGAAGCTGGATGATTAAAACCGACGACAGATGGCTAGGCGAATGACAGCAAAGATGGAATGTCAGGGTATTCGTGGAATGAGAGGATGAAGACAATCTGTTTCAAATGAATTTTAAAAAGTCATAAATTAAAAGTAAAAATAAAAAAATATTTTTCATACCAGATGCAGACTAATTAAAGGACATCATGAGTCAATATGTGGAGAAACACAACAAATAGAGTTGCTTTCATACAGTGAGCGAGGGCTCTAAGACATTTTCAGATTTTTTTTTTAATTAACTTGTGGCTCAATTTCTTTGCAGTGTATTCCTGGCTTCTCTGGGGGTACCAATTGGATTTTCTGCCTGTTGAATTATGTTTTTTTTTTCCGATTTCACAGCCAAAAAGCAACTCTGAAATGAAGTCCTCACTCTTCGGTTGAAGAACTGATTATTTACTATTAGGTCATAACAGTTTTTGGGTTTCCGTAAACATTTCCCAACTCCATAAACCTCGGAAGAATCCGATCCACTGACCTAGCTTTTTCTCTTTGGTGCCTGAAGCGGACCCGGCCCGTCCTCAGCTCCGCCCAGGTGAAGGTGTCGTCCCTGGTTAGGTCTCGGCCTTCCTTCCCCTCTCCTTCCTCCCCTCTGAACAGGACCAGCTCTCCGTTACTCGGGATCTGAACGAGCTGGAAGACAAGCCGCTCAGGCGGACTGTCGGGGTCCCTCACCTGCAGCAGGCTGGGGGCCAGCGGGGAAATCCCACTGAGGGGAACCAGCAGGGAGCCGTTCACCTGGAGGGCAGGGGGGTGGGTGTTACCTGAGAGAAAGAGGGAGGATAAGAAGAAATGAAACCGGAATGAATGATCTCTTGTATTGCTGACAATTCTTATGACCTTGATAGGTGAAGAAGGAGTAGGAGTTATAAACTATAATAATAATGATTGATATATAAAATAAAAGTAAGACATTAAGAGGGAAGACAAATATTGAGATTTAAGTCATTGGAATGTATAAAGACAGGGCATTGTTATTATATGACAGCCTCTAATTACTCAAATTGTTACATGTTAACACATTTCAAATCCTGATATTTATCCAATTAAAATTGAAGCTGGATCAGACTGTGAGTGGGTGTAGGAATGACAAAAGGTTATGAAGTAAAAAAGTGTGTGTGTGTGTGTGTGTGTGTGTGTGTGTGTGTGTGTGTGTGCGCGCGCGTGCGTGCGTGCGTGCGTGCGTGCGTGCGTGCGTGCGTGCGTGCGTGAAAGATGGCTGGTGAAATATAAGCAAAACATCTCGGTCTTTGCGTGGCATTTTAAAAGTTGGCCTTAATTAGAATTGACTTTGTTCGGGTATTTTTTAAAGATCAGCTCTTTTGAGAAGCCATAATGTAATCTCATTATATCTCCTCTAATGATGCCAGAGGCACTCTAACATCTCAAACTTTCGGCCATGTAAATAAACTCACAAATGAGAAAGGACTATAATTAAAAGCACTAGCTTTCTACTTTTTTCTTGGCTGGCACGAATAAAAATGAAAAACAACCAACAAACAAAGCAAATTTGTTGTGGATAAGTTAGAGCCTTAAGGCTGGACATTTTTCATTATATCACAAGAAGAAAGCATTTATCTAAAATGGTGCATGATAATATAATTCTCTATTATAACTATGCTTTGTCAAGTTTCATAAATCATCTCACAACCAGTCTGATTGTGAAGGCCTCAGGCATCGACGAGCTCTGTTTGAACATAAAAGTACAAGATTCCTCTAATGACCCGACTCTGCAGTCAATGAACAATTTTACACTGTTATTCAGGAAACCATTTACAAAGAGGACACTAATAATGTCGCAAGTAAATGTAAACAATATATTCTGTAAAAAACTGAACCTGAAAAGTTCATTTAAAAAGGAGCCACGTAGCTGAAATACACTTTTTACTACTAATTATGTTGTGGCCTTCAATAACTGCTTATGTTTCAAATCTAGCTCTGACTGGCTAAGTTTAAGTTTGATATCTGTTTTTTATTAAAAAAAAATGTATCAATGAAGAATCTCCCTGAATCTAAATATTTGACGTGAAAAGAATGATCATTTGAATGCCCCCCTCCAGGCACTAATTCTCATGTAGCCAGACATACCTCTAAATTAATTCTTATGCTGTATCTGCTAACACCATTAGCTGCTCAAACAGTTAAATGCTAATATCATTGCCTGCTAACATCGTTGGCTGCAAACACCCATAGCTGCTAATAGCTTTAGTTGCTAACACCTTTAGCTGCTAACACCTGCTTAGCCATCTCGATGTTGAGAGCTGTGTGGAAGAAATCCCTCAAAAGTAGCTATGCTCAAATCTCAAAACTCAAATCAAGGCTGTTGTAATGCACCAATAAATATTAAATATTCCTCCTCAATGTGTACCTCCTGATCCTTTAAGTCCTTCAACACAATGTTCAAATTCAAACACATTTGAAAAAGCTGCAAACGTTTTTTTCAGCTAAAACGAGCTAAACTTTAAAAAACTTGAATATAACTCTTGAGGAAGAATATAGAAGTTGTATTGTATCTGTGATTGACAGCTTATTAATAAGCCTATCGGTCTTCAGGGAGCAGCAACAGCCCTGCCTTCAGTGTAGCAGAGCAGCAACCTGTCAATCAAGCTAATTTCCTCATTAAATCTCCTTTGTGCCAGTTGGAAAACAAAACTGGATGTTTGTTCTCTACTAGTGAGTTTCAGCCAGGAACCAGATACTGTTCCATTGTTTGCACAAGAGGATCGCAGCATTAGGTGACTTGCTCTAGATCAATTGTAAATTAGCAACGATCGTGTATGTGTTGCTGTTAAATTAATCAGACAGGCAGAACAGGACAGATATTTCACTACAGGAGCTGCTGCTTAGGGGGAACATTAACATTTAACAACCATACCTCACACAGCATTAGACTTTGGGATTTTTCTTTTATGCCTTAGTTAACCAGCCTGTTGCCTAGCAACCAGCCATGTGGATTTGTTTTTAAGTGACGTTGAGGTTAACTTGCAATATTTATGTGGCTTTTTTGCCCTCACCATAGTGTTATTTGGACTGCTGTCGGATGAGCCCGATTTTAAAGTGGATATTAACCTGTGTTATATAACAGAAACATATTTATACTAAGTAGGCTTTTACAAACAAAGAATTTGCTTCAGTGTTTCATATGACACATTTCTGGTATAATATTTTAAAAAATCAACAATTCAAAAAAATAGCTGTACAGTTCTGTGTAGGAATATAAAATAATGTATGTTAATGAAGGGCAATATGATACGATATTTCAAATTATATGCACAGTAAAAAGAATGTGCTCTATAAAAACTAAATAAAACAAGTTAACTTCAACTTGTCTTTTACTTAAACAACTTTATTTGGGAGAGTGTGGGAGAGAAACCCCCTTTGGAGAGAACTTCAGTATCTTAGCCGTTGCAGACCATTTACATGCACAGAAACCTATATACACACTACAGGAAAGGGAGAACCCCAAAACGCATTCTAGGCCCTCTTTAAAGCAGACATCATGTTATTACCGTGGCAGGTCCTGGTCTTTTGGTCTGCGTAGAATCCGTGTCCACAGTTGGGCGTGCAGTATCCTTCCATGAGGAAGGTTTGGTCACGACACGCACTGCAGCGTCCAACCCCGTCACACAGCACACAGTCGGACGAGCAAGCTAAATAGGATGCAGATGAGTCAGTGTTAGAAGGAATGTTTGATTCATACTTTTTTGTCCTGGTAGGGTATTTAATCCAAACCGTACATATTTTCATTCTCACATTTCTACGTAAAATTATTTCTTTCATTTCCTCAAAAGCGCTATAAGGAATGTTTATTCTTTGTTTTATTTCTAAAATGTAAACTTCCCCAGCACAGAAAACCTTTTGAAATCATGCCTTTGACTCCAAAATAGGCCAGATGTAGAAAAGGGTAGCATTCATCAAAGTCTTACGTTTGCAAATCTGCGAGGAGGCTTCCAGGAAGTAGTTCCGGCCACATTCCAGCACACACTGACCCTGCAGGGTGGCGTAGGGAGGCTGGCACATATGGCACTGTCCTGGACCCTGACACTCAGTGCAGTGATCATCACAGCCTGACAAGGACACATACAACACACTGAGAGCATTAAAACCAGCGTAAAGTAACTAAGTACATTTACTCAAGTACTGTTCTGAAGAACAATTCTGAGGTACTTGTACTTTAATTAAAGATCCCCTATTATACTGTTTTTCATCAATATATTATAGGTGTCCGGTAAATACAAAACATGTCTCTGAAGTGTCTGGCTCCAAATACCAAACAGATCATTGTAGCATCCCATAATCCCCTCTGTTTCAGCCCTGTTTCCAAAGTGCTGATTCTCTGTCTGTTACTTCAGATGAAAATAAGGAGCCATTCCCCACGCCCCTCAGAGAGATATTTGGTTACAAAGAACTCAATGGTGCTCTACGAAGATTCAGGTGATAAGGTGGGGAGGGGGGGGGGGGGTTACCTTGGTTGCTGATTGGCTAATGGTTACACAAGCCAAAAAATAGTTATGACATCATAAAGTGGCCAAAATCGGATCAGCTCATTTTCAGACAGGTTTTTATATAAATGGATCAGGACAAAAAGAGAGAGAATCTTTTTTCCTGAAACTTTCTGAACCTCTTCACACAGAGGGGACACATGTTTATGAAAAAGTGGATTTTGCATAATCTGAGACCTTTAAGAAAAGCAACTTCAAGTGCTTAATATGCAGACAGAGGGCAAAAGAAGGATTCTGATTGTGTTGCACTGACCGAGGCATTTGTCCCCGTCTCGATAGAAGCCAGTGGAGCACCCCTGGGTGCACAGTCCATCCTGCAGCACATGTCCCTCCATGCACAGCAGGCAGTCTGTCCTCAGAGGACCTTTACAGGCGTTGCAGCTCCAGTCGCACTCTGGAGACGGGATGGAGGGAGGCACATGGGGAGGAGGAGGAGGAGGAGGAGGAGGATAGCGTGTTTTTAAGCGGGACAGTGGGATTAGACATGAGGGGATTTTGAAGGCGAGAGCAAAAGGTGAGAGCAGAAGAGAGGGAGGGGGGAGAGAAATAAAGAGATTAACACATTATTTTCATCAGAGGGATTTATTCTAAACCTAATTGTGTTTTTCCCCTTTCTCTCTTATCAGCTGCACATCTGGTGTGCGTTGTGCTGCCCTCCGTTCATATTGACAAGAGAATTAAACACAATTACTGTAGGATGAATACAACTCTGTGTTTGTGTGAGCTGCTAGGTTTTTATTAAAACTAAATCAAGAGAGATGACGCATTCTCAGCAATTACAGAGTAAGCAGGGGGGCATTATATAAGTAAGGGATCCATTTAATACACGGCCACATACTAAATAAACCAACGACTTGACTCACAATATGAATTGAAAATGATTTGATTGACTAAAGCATTATCGTATTTCTTCTGCTAAGAAAAAATACTCAGATTTCTCTGACGTCCAATGCTCTTTGATCCTCCTTAGCAACTGTCATTATTTTGCTTAGCAGCGGTGAGTTATCGAGTATTAAAAACCTCTGAAATGTCCAAATGACCAATCAGAATTGAGTAATCACTAGGCCATGTAAAACAGAATATATACTTGTAATGTAAAATGTTATAATAACTTATAACATTGAAAAGTATTCTGCTCATTGTAAAGTAAGAGAGATTGCAAGATGGATAAAAGTATGTATTTTATCCTTTAAATCAATAAATAGGCCACAGTAAATGTCCTTGTAACTAAGGTTTATGATGTCATAACCAAACGATAATTATTCATCTCTGTTCACAGTAATGCATACACCAAATGTCATGGCTAAGTGTGATAGTTGTCGGGAAATTTCACTCAAGAACAAAAACTGTTAATCTGCTGATTTATTCAAAGAAAAATCAGAGGATCGCAAAAGTCCTCAGGATAAATTGTCTTGGAACCAAGATCAGTTTTTCTAAAGTGCATGGCAATCCATCTTTCTGTTGATTGGAGGGACTCACTGATCAACATTGGGATAAGATATGCCTTAAGATGTTACTGTGTGTTCAACATTTTATATTTCCCCCTCAGTCACATCCTCAATTCTCTTAAAGGACACATCCATTTTGATTCCTGCAGGTAAACACTCTTTAACTCATTCACTTCTCAACGTTTTTTCACATTTTCTCTCACTTTGTCTATTGCCTACATTTGCGGTAAAAAAAAAACAGCAGAGGTCTCCACAGGGTTTTTCCTGAGGATTCTGAGGAGGCAAATTAGGGGTTCCTCCCTAGAAATATATCAGTGATTAATCCAAACCGATGTGGGTTGTTGATAGAAGTGCTGACAGGTTTATAAGAGATTCTCTCAGGAAACTTTCCCCTGTGGTTGCAAGTGAGAGCTCCCAAAGGTTCTCCTCAAAGGCCTGGGAGTTTTCATGAAGCAGAATGCAGTGTTGCTTCCCAATGCTCTGGGTTCATCTAAGGTTCAGTGGATTACCCGGGCAGCGGCTGCGGCTAGCTGGGGGGATGAATAGAACGTCGATGGCTACAACCACCTGTCGAGCTGAAAGGCGCTGCTAGCTGCCTCACAGGAAATCAAACTGGGAATTTAGCCTCTAGCGGTCAGCTTAGTTTCTAATCTCGTGTCAGACATGGGAAGCTGTGGGTCCACCTCAGGGGCAGGTTCCTTTGGGCCCCTGATACATCGTCAAATCCCATTACATTGAACCAAATCGCTGATAAAGGCAAGTCTGCAAGGTGATGTAAGCTCCACATGAAATGGCTTTCTGTGAATTAAAGTGGATATCTGTGTTAAGCCAGTGTGACAACACAGTTGGGCGGCTCGCATTCTGAACATAAATCCCATCCAGGAGAAAAAGAAGCGGGACACATTTTCACACATCTTATTTGCGGGTTGGCGATAATGCGGAGCGAGATTCAGTCAGACAGAATGTGGTCTGGGGCGGTTAGTGGGTCATTAAATATATAGGCAGAGTTATTGCATGCAAAGTGAAAAAAAGACGAGGTATTCAGACTGGACATGGTTCCTCTGAGGCCCATTCATCACCTTCTCTGCAGGCTGCAAGATTTCATACGGAGTTGTAACGCACACATAATGTTTGGGATTTGCATATCTGGTCCCACAGTTTATGACTTGATCAATGGACCCCATAAAGTCAATGTAGCACACTGCAGTACATGCAATATAGATGGAGAGTAATTTATGGGTATCATAAAGGGCGAACTACATCCTCATTATCAATCCAGTGTTTCCCCTCGCTGTGTGCTGCAGTGTGTGTTGGGTTGCGATGGCTTACCTCTGCAGGCCCGGGTGCTGGTGTTGAGGTAGTACTGATGGGCGCAGCTGTCATACTGGCACTCTCCGAACAGCAGCACCTTGGCTGGGTCGCGGCAGGATGTACACACACCGGGCATGTCGCACGTCAGGCACTGGCTGTCACACACTGCGGAGACAAGAAGGTCGTACGGTTAGAGCCAAGGTCAGAGGGAAAAGGAAATGAGTGACAAGATGTAATCATGTCTGCGGTCACCAAAGATACCGACTAAATGTGGCTTGTTTCGAACCAGTGATATTTTGTATAATAGACGTTTTAACACTATAACAATGGTTATAATATTATTATATACTTTTGACATAAAACTGTGTGTTAGAGTGCAGCTTTGGTGCACTTCAGGTCATTTATAATAATAGTAATAATAAGAATACAAACAATAATAATCATCATAATAATAATCATAATCATACTATACCATTAGTATTACTGCTACTACTACAATTACTATTATTATTATTATTATTTACAATTATATTTAGGAGGAGGGTCAGGCCGATTGTCGAACCTCAGATTGAGGAGGAACAATGCGGATTCCGTCCTGGTCGTGGAACGACGGATCAGCTTTTTACTCTCGCAAGGATCCTGGAGGGGGCCTGGGAGTACGCTCATCCAGTCTACATGTGTTTTGTAGACTTGGAGAAGGCGTATGACCGAGTTCCCAGGGAGTCACTGTGGGAGGTGCTGCGGGAGTATGGGGTGAGGGGGTCTCTACTCAGGGCCATCCAATCTCTGAGGGAATATTGGCACCTTGAAGTTTCTTTTCCCGCGGCAGCCACCCAGTCCTATAAAACGTAATATGTCATTACTCCGCCACTATGCACCACTCTCTCCCATTCGCCACCTGTCCGACGTTAACTTTATTTTTGAGGCAACCAACCAAATGACAGACCATTCCAAAGCGAAATACATCGTCCTATGCAGTCCGTACATACCAACTTACTGAAACGAGTAAATATGGAACACATGAACTTATAGTAAAAATAGCTGAAATCATTGTTTTTCCGTGAAGATCATGAATCGTGCATTGAAAGAGTTCCAGAGAATTAGTAACTTTACATCAATTTGGTAACTACCCATAGAAAGAGAAAAAAAGTTAGTAACCAAGTAAGAACGATCGAAAACAACTATTTGGAAAAACCAGTTAATGTAAGAATTCCACTAGAATAGAGGTAGATAAAAATTAAAGTCTTAAAGATGGGATGGTTAATAATGAAACTATGCAATAAAAAAGACTCTAATAAGGACAAGTTTTCTAAGTACAAGGTTGTTCGGGTTATTGTGTAAGAATTAATAATAAATATATAAATTGGTCAACGACGGTCGAACTCACTATTAAGAGTTTAGAAGTTAGTTAAGCAATAATATTAAACTTTTTAATAATAACAAAATAGAATAAATATTTTGGAATTCCTTCAAACTATATTTAATAAGCCATAACCTAAGGCCAACTATCACGTTAACATAAAAAATAATTTAAATAAGAAAAAAAAATAATAAAATAAAGAGCACAGAGTAAATAAGTATACAGAGAATCCAATTAATTTCAGACCAAAATAAATCCAAGTCATTAATCCATGTAACATAGAAAAGTAACAAAAAAATTCAGTAAGAGGAAAAGAGGACATAACACGGAAGACTAATGAAAAGTTAAAGATAAAGGAAAATTTGCACAAGATGATCGACGTATACTCTACAATTTGTAACAATGCTGACCAAAGGGAATATTTGAACAGTGATGATATGAACATTAACTATGTTTTAATTTGTACAATAAAAGTTTCGTGAAGAACCGACGATAATATTCCACTATATATGATAGTCATATATAAAAAAAAAACATATAGTAAAAAAGTCATTGTACAAAAATAAAGTATGAATTAATTATTACTTCAGAAATAAATAACATAATGTATATACATTACTCAAACTGATAAATTATTATTTATCAATTAATATTACATAATACATACATCGTCATTTATTATTCACGTCAATAACCACAACACTTAACAACATAGAATAATTACAATTGTAATAAGTATCAATGTAATACATAATAAATAATGAAAATAATTGAACGTTATTATAAAATATATAGTAATATTTATAATAATAAGGTAGAAGTGGTAAGGTAGAAGAGAGGCGAATAAGGCACCAGCCCAGGCGCCTCACATGTCAAGGTACAGTCTCTCGGGAGTTGAAAAGAACAAGGGACCGGTGTAGTTAGAGTCAGAAACCTGCCACCCTCAGGGTTCCGCGAGGGTCAGTCGCTTTTCTCTATAATAGAGGAGGTAAGGACCAAGATCCAGATGGAAGGAAACCAGGAGAGGGTAACTGCACGACCTGGTGGGAAGGGATCCCTCCGCGGGTCAACACCGTAGGATCCTATCCACGGAGACATAAGATAGAAAAGGAAAAGATTTGACAGAAGGAAAACTAAAGCGCTATCTCAAACAATCAGCACGAAGTTAAAGAGAGACAGCATACAGAGAAAGAAGGGAATACTGAAGACTATAAAAAAAAAAAAAGAAGTGGAATAAGGAATTATACCCTAACATAGTAAAAAAGATAGAGTAAGGAGACGGCCTAATATTATGGGTAAAAGAGACACAAAAAGGACGAAACATGGAAGAACGCTAGAAGCAAGAAAAAAGCCAGACTGAAAAGAGAAAAGATAAACATTAGTAAAAATCACAACTCCCATCACATTACATTATACCGACGCACATCTAAAGTCATATCGACAACGAGAAGACCGAGATAGAAAAGAAAGAGAAAGCAGTGTTAGCCACGCCAATTTACATCTAACGTCATAAAAGAGCAGAAAAAAAGAAGAGAAAGCAGAAACAGAAAAAAGAGACATAAGAAGGCTAAGGGATAGAGATGCGAGAGTACAAAAGGAAAGGTGAGTCTTGTTCTGGGGCTCTATGAACTTTGAGGAAGTGAACCCCATTCCTGGAGTAAGGGTGAACCTCACCTGTCAGGTAGCCAAAGGACGACTCTTGTTACCGGAGTCTAAACCTCCACGACTAGGAGTAGGGTCGGCGAAGTGTGAGCAACGCTTGGCTAGGTCACTCACGACTTCCAGCGTCTGGCTACTTCGGTAGTCTTGGTGTAGTAGACGTTTTTCGTCACCACGTTAGGAATCAGGTGGCTTGACGTCTGGGGGAGGGGGTGCTGATGCGGAGCTTTAGGCTAGGTACATATAAATGTTTGTCCTAACCACTGTTTCGGCGTCGGAACCGCCTCCGGTTGGGAGTTGGACTTTACCCAGGCTGAATGACGGCTCCTGGGCCTGTGTCGAGAGCG